CAAGATCCGCCACTTGGGATGAGATTTGGAGAGGCCCATTGTCTATGCCGTAGTCCAGAACCCTGTGGATTGGACAATATATGCACAGTATATCAGCAATTTGGAATATTATTTGACAAATAGTTCCTTCATATTTTTAAAACTTATACAAACTGCTTCCAATGTGAATAGTTAAAAAAACACAAACATTCTCTCTATGTTTTATGATTTTATTTTCATTCACTCAATCATTACTTAATTATTAAGTTTTATGCGTTGGACTAAAGTACATTCTCTTAATATAAATAGTTAAGATGCACTTTTGCCTCTCAACTTACCCGAAAAATTACTAGAGACCTTAAACTTAATTATGAATCAATTCTGTCTCTCAATGTTAAATATTCCCTTTTCATCTCCCAAATATAAAAATCACTTAACATTCATTAATCATCAATGAATCTCACTATTTTTTAATATTTTTTATTGAATTAACTGCCATTTTTTCCCTAAACTTTTATTTGAAGGATCAGTGGGCACCTTCAACTCAAATATTTTATAATAAAAAATATTAAAATATAATGTGAGACCTACTAAAAATCAACTAATGTTGAGAAAATAACATGGTGATAAGGGAAATAATTTTTAAAATTAAAGGATAGAATTAACCCATTATTAAATTTAAGGTCTCCAATAACATTTTGAGTAAAGTTAAGGGATTAAAAATGACCCCTAACCCTAATATCAAACTTATTCAAAAAGCATTCAAATTACCAAAAAAAATTTAATGCATATATTCTTTTTTTTATTTAATTTTTAATTTTTTTTAAAATGTGTTTACTTTGTAATTTTAAAAAATTTAAATATAAAAATTGGATAAAAATATTCAAATATATAGTTAAAAAAATTATGAAATAATAATTTAATATAATAAATTACTCAATATAATTTATGGTTATTTTCTTTAAATTTCATTAATTTTAAATCATTTATTTAAATATTAACATATTTAATTATTTAAAGTTTTTGAGATTTGAAGAGAGAGTAGACAATTAAATCACAAAGGTAAATTAGCAGTTTTAAATTTTTTAATATAATTGCAAATAAAATATTAAATATTTTAGAATTTTTAACCGAATATTTGTAATAATATTAAAAATTAGATCAAACTGTATGTTTTAAAAATAAATGAGAGATCTCAGTAACTTTAGTGAATCGAGAGGAGGCTACAGTCTTTTATTTTATTTTATATTAAATTCAGAAATAAAAATAAATTTAAAACTAACTTGGGCGAGCATCTACGACAACTTAAGGACTACTTTTTAAATACTTTTATTTTGTGGCCAGAATATAAATTTATCTATTTTTTTCGTTTAAAAATATAAGGTATTTTTTTATACGTTGAATAGTTAAAAATATAAGACATTTTTAATCAAATCTTATTCTCAATAAAATAGGTATTTTATTTTTAAACTAGGCTTATCTTTTTATATTTACCTCTTTTAATATAATGTTTCACCCTAAAATAAATATAAATGATTATTTAATAGGAATAATTTAAAAAAATAGTGATTATGCTTTAAAACATTAAAAATATTTTATATTTTTTAATATCTAATTTTTAAAAAAATATCTCTTATTTCTGGACGGAGGGAGTAATTTATAACTGGGTAGTATTTGCTGCCTAACTGCAACAAGTTCATCAACGGCTTTCTCCTCTTTTTTGGAGGGTTGAGCCGTTGAGGGAATATATCTTCAAACGCCAACCAAACCGACCAAAGATTTTTTTATTTTTTAGTTTTTTTGTTTTTAAAGTACCGTTAAAGTTGTACGTCCGGTACAAGCATGGTTCTTTCTTTTTCATGCCAAAAATCCCATTCAAATTGAAAAACGATTGGGTCCCCTTTCCATTGATAAATCAACAGTATTCGGCTTCAATTCATTCCGAACTAAAATAATCTTACTTGTTTTGTCCTAATCCTTAATCAAGTTAATAAAATAAAAGTAAATTGCTGAAACCTCAACAATTACTTCTTTCACAAAAGGTTATAGTTTGATAATTTTGCACTAAAATGAATTCAACATCAATCAATTGACGGTCAATGAGCAAAACAGGTCCTCAATTTTTGTTCAAAAATCACCATAAACACTAAACTCTTAAAATATATAAAATAAAGTTTAAATTTTTAAATTCGTAGCAAATTAAATCTTACTGTTATTTTTTTAATGCCATTATTATTCATAGTGGGTCCTAGTTAATTAACACTACAGACTTTAAATTGTTATGCCAGTAGTGTCTTGAACCTTGAAATTTAAAATTTTGAGCAAATTATTCAATTGTTTTATGTATAGAACGTTGACTATTATCTAGATCAAATTAGCTTCAGTGTGGTTCGCCGCGTTGAATGTATCATTGGTCGTAACGATCAACTCATAATTTTGTAAAATGACTTTTTTTGCCCTTTTTTGAAAATATTTTCCAAAATGATTGGTATCTCATATTTCGGTATATTCTATAACTCTAATTTAGTTCCATTTTACATAATATTTATTTATTTAATATTAAAAATTTAGAATCTCATTTAAAAATAAGTTTAAGTATCATAGGATTTTACAGACAATTGATGCGAAAGTCGACGATTTTGTCAACGAATTTAAATCTCAAAGTAACTAGCTAATTAAAATTCTTTGATATTTAAATTTTTTTCAATGAAATCCCAAGCTTGCAGCATTAAATAAATAAATATTATTTAAAATAAAATTAAATTAGAATTATATAACATACGGAAGCATATGATATCAATTATTTGAAAAACATTACAAAAAAAGCAAAAAATAATTTCATAAAATTATGAGTTATTCACCGCAGTCAACAATGCATTCATCGTGACGAACTACATTGAAGTTAATTTGATCTACATAATATTTAATGCTTTATATATAAATGATGGGGATAATTTGTTCAAAATTTAAAGTTTATAGTCTAGGATGCTACTCTTGTAACAATCTAGGATTTATAGTACTAATTAATTGAGCCCCATGGTGAACAATAATGGGGTTAAAAAAAGATAACTGTAGAATTTAATTTGTTACAAATTTAAAAATTTAAAATTTATTTTATATATTTTAAGAGTTTGAAATTTAGGGAGCTTTTCAAGTAAGAATTTAAATTTTATTTCACTCATTAACCCATCAATTAATCCTACGAAAAGATTTAAATCAATAAATGAGGAAAAAAATTCTTATTATATTCACTTGATCGAAGTAAATACGCTTTCGGCCATCAAAATCAACATCATATATAAATTTGAAATCATTGAAGTTGTTAAATTATTACTCAGCAACTATATATATACATACATATATATATATATATATATTGATTTTAAACTTTCGAGGCACCTGTCACGCTCCCCCATCCCTTTCTTGTGGGTGAGTTTGTACTGGTTTACTTTTCTTTTTATTTTTCTGAGCACTGAAACTACATTTACATTGAAAACAACAAAAGGAAAGGATGTTAAACCCACCGCATAAAACAAGTTTCAACCAAATACTGTAAGAGTGTTGGGTGATACTTCCATGGCAGAATTTCAGTTAAGAATTATTACAGGGACTTAAATTTAGATCGGTCCAAATTTTTTTTGAAATTTTAATTTAATATAGACGAAAAAAATTAAAAAAATTTTAATGATGAAAATATCAAAATAATCTTTATTTATTATACAAAATTATTAATTATTAATTTTTTCAATATACTTATTAATTTATCAATATCACTTATAAATTATATCCATTTATTAGACATTCAGTAATATTAATTGTTAATTTACTAACTTTACTTGTTAATTTGCTAACATCAATTATAAATTACAAGACCTGTTAGTAATTTACAACTAATGTTAGAAAATTAACAAGTAAAGTTAAGAATTTAATAACTAATATTGCTTTTTATGATTGAACAATTGATATCAAGTTTTATACAATTATTGACATGTCAATTCATATAATTTGTAACTTATATTTATAAATTAACAAATGATGTAAAAAAAATTAACAAGTAATAATTCTGCATAATAAGTGAAGGGTATTTTGATCTTTTTATAATTAAAATCCTTTTGATTTTTTTCTCCAGAACTAAATTAAAATTTCAAAAAAAAAAGGATGTGCATGAAATTAAGTCTTTACTGTGATTTTTAACTAAAATTCTCCCTACTTCCTTTCCCATATTTTATAAGACATTTTCTTGGTAATTTGATCATAAACGATATAAAATATTTAAAGAAAAGGATAATGATTTATTAATAAACATGTTATAAAATTACTTCTCATTTTTTAATTTTTAGATATCTTCTTCTATCTTTCATATTAAATGAAGAATATTTTTAAAAATTTATATTTAAAAAAATTAAAATTTTAGATGGTATTCAATTGATTTAATTATTATTCACAATTTTATTAAAAAAAGTGTCTTATAAAAAGCATAAAGAGAGTAAAAAATAAAGCCTAAAACATTCAATGAAATCTAAAAAGAAAAGGCAACAAAAAGATCAACTGTTTTTCTATAAATTTCTTAGGATATATTTGGAAAGGGCTTTCCACTTCCAAAAAGTCATTTTTTTTTTCATTCCATTTGTGAGTAATAGTATTGTTTTGATATTTTGCTAATCTTAAAATTCATTTAAGATCCCAAGAAGTGTGTTTTGAAAGTTTGTTTGAAATTCTGTAGTGGTTTTTAAATTTTGAAATATGAGTTAGAGCTAATTATGACATAAATTTGCCGACCTTTGACTTGTGAAAATAATTCAAAACATAAATGAATTTTTGGTTTGGTAAATACACTTTGGTAAAATGAAAACCAAAGCCACCCTTAATCATTGATATCAACTTTAGCTGAGCTAGTATCGATAAAGTTTTCTATTCTTTCAGTCAATTTTTTTTTTTCAATATTCTTTTTCACTTCTTTTAGAAGCTATTTGTACGGGATAACTTAATAAATATCTTTTTAAAAAAAAATCACCACGACAAACAACCCACCATAAAATCCTTTCCTTTTGATCCAGCCTTAAAACATACTAAAATTTATATATAATATAAAATTCTAACTAAAACCATGGAAGGAGACCCATGTATGAAAAAAAATTAATTTAATTAAAAATATTAATTATGTGACCATAATAAGAATAGATAAGTATAGTAAAGGAGCCGGTTTATTCACAAGAATGTAATCAATCTCAAAGAATACCTAGCTCTATCTGCTCCCGCTCCTATGGATTTCTCTTTGTCAAAAGATATGAACGATGACTTCGAATTTTTGAGTTCCAATTCTATCAATTCCGTATATACAGTCTCAAAATTAATGTTCATCTGGGGACAGGAAGAAAAATCATTCTGCCTTTTCAGCCTTCAGGTCCCATGTCTTCCATTATCAATCAAAACTCGTCTGACGGTAATATTTTTTTAAAATCCAGCACCACTTCACAACGCCGCCATGTAATTTCTCACCTCATCCCTTATCATCTCCTTCATCACTGCCAGCAACTCTGGCCCAAAAGTCGTGATTCCACCCTGCTTCTTCTCCGTTGATAATAATATCGACGTTGATAATGCTTCCTCATGCTCTGTAATAGAGCTAGAATCTTTAAGCCTCCCTAACTCCTTCGACTTGGCTCCAGGAAGAGACAGAGTGAGTTCTGTTGAGAGATCGTTGTTCAGGTTCGCGTCCGGCGGTCTCGATTCAGGCCGAATCACAGTCGGAGAATTAGAGACTGCCTGATGACCGGAGTCACTAACATCAGATCCAGTTTGGCTGCCCGGGCTGTAACAATGACCCGCTAATACGGAAGGAATCGTCAGCGATCGATCTTCGGTAGCCTGCTTCTTCGTTGGTAGTTGGAGCGATGGATCTTCGACGTCACGAACCAGTGATGAGTACTTGCGCTTTAAGGTGGAGTTCCAGTGATTTTTGACAGAGTTATCCGTACGGCCGTTGAGGAGCTTGGCTATGGCGGCCCATTTGTTGCCGAACTGGGCGTGTGCCTTGATGATGATCTCGTCCTCCTCCGGAGTGAAGGCGCCACGCTCTACATCCGGTGAGAGCTGATTGCACCACCGTAGCCGGCATGACTTTCCAGATCGTCCGGCGATCGCCTTGCTTATGGCCGACCAATTTCGAGCGCCGTGCCGTCGCACGTGCTGCCTCAACAACTCGTCCTCCTCAGGGCTCCAGGGACCCTTGACTCGATCCACCTCTCCCTGCAACGCCTCCATTGTCATGTACTCGTCGTCGATCAACCCTATGCAAAACCTAAAATACACCAGAATCTCCAATGTCCAAGAAAATAGAAAATTAAATTAGAAAAATAAGAGAGATTGGAGAGAGAACCGGTTCAGAGGGAGAAGCCTCTGAAATCTGAATGCGAAGAGTTAGAAGAGGAATGAATGAGGGGGGGTTTATAAGAAGAGGGTAAGTCAATAACTGACCCAGCCAGTTAGCTGAAACAGGTAAGAAACGATATGTGAACCGGGGATAGTGGGTTACCGGTGAAGTATAGTTTACAGCTGGATAACGACCAGTTTTGGCCACGCGGGCAACGAAGGTTTCTGAGAATCCAACGAAATACTCGGCGAAATGAAACGCAGCGGAAGAGTTAGTTAGGACTTGGAAGTTAAGGGATTTGGTGGATCGTTCGTGAATATTTGAAAAAATCGCGAAAATCAGTGTTTTGGAGAGAGACGTCGAGATATTTTAACTTTGAAGGGTATTTTGACGTCTGACTGTTGGGGATAAGCTCAGCTGCAATGGGGCCAGGCTGGAGAGCATTACGTAAAGAATTTGAATTTTAGTTTGGGTGCATACAGTTAAGTTTTTTTTTTAAAAAAAAAATCGATGACAATTAGATTTTAGCGAAAATTTTAAAAATAAATATAAATATTAATTTAAATAAAAACTCTCTTTTATTCAAAATATTAGCAGTTTTTTTAAAAAAAATTTACATACTTATAAAGTTCTTATTCTCATAAAAATATATAGTATCATTTTTTTTTATCCCTTAGATCTTAATCTTAATTATCAATACACTCTATGATAAATAAAATATACATTTATATAAATATTTAAGTTAACAAATAGAAAGGGTAAGATGAAATGTTTTTTCATGTTCTCAGTTACTTATATTTATAATCAAGATTAATTAAAAAATGTTTTTTTTTCAAATAGGAGGATTATAAATTAAAAAATTGATTATAAAGAATGTATTTAAATTTTAAATATAAATCTAAATTTATATTTGATACAATTTTATCAATAAATATTTATTACTTAACTTTTTTAATGAATTTGTTGTAGTTTTCTTCTTCTTCTTCTATTTTGCCAACTAAAAAATTTGTTGCATCATTAATTTTTTTTTTCTTTAGTTGTTGGAGTTTATTGAAAGATATTTCTTCTGTTTTTATATATAAATTTTTTAATTTTTTATTTTTAAATATAAAAAATTATTAACATATTTTTAATGAATCAACTATTATATTTTTATTAAATTAAAATTAATAATAAATATTTTTATCAATTTATTTTTTTAAAAGATATTTTTATGAATAAAAACTAAAATATTATGAAATTTTAAATTAAATAATTAAATTTTATTAATTTGTGTGATTTAATTAAAAATATTTTATACATGAGATAGATAGGTATTAATGGAATTTTTGGGAAGCACGAAAGTGATGAGGTGGGGAAAGAAAGAGATAGGGAATAAAACTGACAATACAGCTGGAGACTGAAGGCCGGAGACGACTTGACGAGTGACGAGGTTGTAACGGGCTACTCCCACCCACGCGAGCCGGTCATCTACCCCACTGATCTTCAGTCTGCACTAATTAATTTCATCTTTTTTTTATATATTTTTTATATTTAAAAATATAAAACATTTTTCTGAAGTATAATTTTTATCTTTTTTTAATATTTTTAGTATATAAATTATTTATATATTTATTTTAAAATAAAAAATTTATTAAATAAAAAATATAAAAAATATTATTAATTTGAATATAAATAATTACTTTATTAAAAAAATAAAATTTAATTAAAATGTCTTATAGGTCGAAGGAAAGGGAGTATAAATTTTTTACTGTTAATTAATTTTTTTTTTGGGCCCAGATTTTTAATTAAGTTTAAACGCAATGGAACCGCACAATTTTGAACTGCCAAAACTAACCCTCCCAAAAAAAAAAAAGTTCTCAGATTTATGGCATTTTGATGTAATTCGCCTTTTGTTGCTGTACATCTTGATGATTAATGAAATTCCTTTTCCACTTAAAAAAAAAAAAACAAGTTCTCAGAAAATTCGTGCGGTTCGGTTCACGTTTAGATTAGAGCATGGTAATTTTCTGGACTTTAATGCTATACTTAGCAGGGAAAAAAAATAAATGGAAAAAAATGAAAAAGGAAAGTGAAAAGAAAATCACATTTTTCTGAGATAGAAAATCGAGATGAATATAATATGTTTGCTTTAAAAAATAAGAAGATTTCAAAAAAAAAATTTCTATTTCTCAATTCATACATGAACGTTTTTCGTTCCGCCCCTCCATTTTCATCCTTGTAATTGGCTGTCATATAAAATTTTTATATTATTGTTTATTTAATAATTTTGTTAAAAAATTAAAATTAGATAAAATAATTTTTATTTATATTTTTATTCCATTTGTCTTCATCGAAAACATATTTGTATTTCATTAGTAATAATTAAATCAAAATTATGTAAATAACATGTTAAAATTATAATTGTTATTGTATTTAAATTTTTTATAAATAATAATAATATTATTATTATATAAAATTAATAATTTTTCTTTTTTCTTGTTCTCTTTCGCCAGGCATAACAAGAGAAAATCACACCAATTAATTTTTCTCTTACATCCAATTTCTTCACTTTCATTTTCTTTCTTTCTTATTTTCACTTTGTTAATCAAATACCACTCAAGGATGGTTCTAAAAAACTAACTCCTTTCCCCTTTGTTTTTGTAAACTGGCTTAAATTTTAATTTACTGTTCTCTGTCTGATCCTTAATATAAAATAAATTCAACCAACTTCACACTTATTAAAAATTGTAATTATATCATTAAAATTATTTTAAAAATTGTAACTTTTTTATCTTGTCATTCTTTAATTAATAACCATAATAAATTGTGTACAGGAGTTCAAACTTAAAGAATATTTTTTGCCATCCTTCTTTTAGCCAAAATTGAGTCAATTTTATTACAAAAGAGTAATTGTAAGCTGTTGAATTGAATTATCTCGATTTGACAACTTTTAATCTATGAAACATCAATACTCTAAACTACCTCACATATCTATATTGATATTGTATCTAATATTAATGCTCATCAATATTTTTTCAATTCATATCCTTAAAATATTAGAATACTATTTTTTAAATTTTTAAAAATTTTTATTTTCGATACTTTTATATTATGAGTTAGTACCTCTTAAAGTCGATACTTAAAAACTATTTTTTAAAAATTATAGTTTGTTAAATATTGTGATATTAATATTTTTTATTCTTAATATATTTGTGTGACTTGCTTTTAAAATTAAAGATTATATTTTCATTAAAAAATAAGTTTTAGATGCAATAAAAAGATAAAAATTATACTTTTTAATTATAAAAATGTATGAATATAATCTTTTGGCATTTAAATCCCAAGTAGGTAATTATTAGCAGGGATTAGATGATAGGTAAGTAGGTATAAATAGAATAAAAATACAAATAATAATTATGTTTTAATTTTTGTTTTTTATAAGACTATATATGTATGCTATTTTGAATATTTTTCTAAATTAAAAGTTTATTTTTAATGTTTTTTATTTTTTTCCAAATATATATACCTATTAAAAATATATCATATTCTATATTTTTAAAAATAAAATTATCAAAATATTGGATACTTATCGTATCTAATACACCTATTAGTATCCGTGCATCATAACTTCTAATAGTATAAATTAATTTTTGCTGTTAAAATTCAACTTAAATAGTTCATACTTGATTGTCATTTTTCCTCGATTAAAAAAAAGTTTTTTTAAGTGTGTCTATTTATATTCACACCGATTTAAATTATAGTGGAGATCTCATACTTCAACAGTCATAGCCACATTCTCACCCACACAGATTAACTCAGCGTCTGCCAGTAAGACGTTTAACGATCGAGAAAAGCCAAGTATGTTCAGGCATAAGTGATAATTTATGATTATCAAAGAAATAAAACTGACATCACTTTGACAGCCATGTGAGGCCTGTGTTGGATTCTCGCCATAGTGTGGGTGGGACCCAAACAAACAGGTAAACGACAAGGTCTTTCTTTGAGAAACACATGTTGGGTATTTCCAATTGTTGGTCATTGCCTATAGTATACGATAACAGAATTAGCACGTGATTAAGAACCGTCGAGGATGTTTCATCAGCAAATTTAATATCTGGAGCATAATACGAGCCATCCTCCTCCAAGTTGTCGCATTCATTACTTCTTGATCTCGTAAAAACGTGCTCGAAGCTTCCACACCTTGTGACTCTCTGTTGCTTCGATCCAATCTTATCAATTAGTTTCTAACTATTGAATTATTCGAGTGAATGATATAGTTGTTTGAGTTGAGTGTTAATCAATTCAAGAAAAAAGTGAATTATTCAGGAATTTTGACATGACAATGCAACCGAAGAAAGCTAATAATGATAAAATTAATATACCCAAATGCCTACAAGGCGAACTAATTTAACCTGTCAACTCAAAACAAATCAAAAATAAAACTCTTAAACAGCCTAATCTACTAATCTAAATAGCTCAACGACAAGGATGAATTAACTAATTTACCTAACTTACCCTGCAACTGCTAACTAATTAACAAATTAATAACTAACGCATTTCGTAAGAATGCCTTGATGGACCTCCCGGCCCTCAAAATGAAGGTTATCTCGTTGGACCCCCCCCTCAAAAAAAACCAAAAAAAAAAAAACCCTTAAAGGATCCTACCAATTAATTTCAAACCAAACCAACCTTGTAACTAGCCCATTAACTAAGCTACTATTAAGGAATTATTATATTTATCTAACAATTTTGTGATGGAAAAATTACATATAGATTTCATAGGGTAGATTTATTTACAAAGAAAATCTCTTAAAATTCCAAAACCATAATCAAATTTATTGGGACTTGAGTATAATTTAAAATTAGGTGCAAATATAATAATGCCCACATTAAAAATACATTACATTGATAAAGTAATTTATAACTATTTTATCATTAATTTATAACTATTATTTCAACTTTTCACCGCTATAACTTCACGTATGTAATAGTTAAATTGACCATATACTACAATTTTAATATTAACTGTATATAATTATGTAATTTACAACTACCATTTCAACATTTTATAATTAT